TTTTTGGGCAGTTATCTTTCTACGTACCAGTTGACCAACTTGTGCATAAGAGACGCCATTTTCCAGATGGATCGCCGATAAACCAGTAGCACGAGGAGGCGTATAGCTGTTCGCTACGCGATGCATTCCATCGATATCCTTCTGAAATGAGCAGCTCATTGACTTGTTGGTTTGTTACTCTCATTGTGAAGGTGATTACATGATCGTATGGTATCTCATTAGCGGTGCCTTTGTGGGCTGACCGGGTGCCCTTCATGCGTTTTGTTACTTTACTACATACATGTTGTTATTTTGTTTGTCGGTTTTATGTGCTATGTGCAGCTCAACTGGTAGCCCTGTGAACATGCACTTAATAACTGCTTATTGCCCGTTGTTTGCTGTATCTGCGGCTAGACAGTATACATTCCGAAATTGCGTGAGGTTCAAATTAGTACATTCTTTGTTGGAGTGGATTTAATGATTCAATTTCAAAATGTAAGTAGTTGATTCTTTATATGTGATTGAAAATGGCATTACGCGCGTGGGACAGCTTGTTGCTTTTAGTTAACCACTAAGCTTGCTAGTGAAATACGTCAAGATTAAGGTAGCGCTACTTAGATTACCTCAACGATGATTGGCCCAGGATTGGTTTTAACAGCATTTTTCAATTTAGATATAATTCCTCCTCAATCTTGTAGTTTAGAGCCTATAACCTATAGGTCTTACGTAGAGTATGTGTTAGAAAAAACTGAAATGTACACGAGCGTTGTCATTATTCGCAGAGATCTCAGTATTGCCAATGGTGTATCTTTAGGTTACCTTCCCTGTTAAGCTCTGATCACGTCTGTGCTCTTATCTGTATACTGTCGATAAATAACTTATGATTTTTTCCAGTACTTTGAATTCGTTAAATGATCGGATTACCCGTCATATCATTGCATTGCCTGTAGAGATTTGTATGTTGTTCTACCAAAGCGTAGGAGACGTTGCCACAGCACAGCCATGTCATCTGGCGCATTGGTATGACGTCACATGACGAAGGTGGTGGTATCTTCAATGTAAAAGGGTTAAATTCTGGAAATCTTATAGATGTGAAGAACAATGCAAACAGTTCTTAAGATAGCCAAAAAGAAACTTGTGAATTGCAGACAAGATTTCAAGTCGGGATTGAATAGCCTCGTCTCATTACTCTTTCCCTAGGCTTTTAGGTAAGCACCATACGAGTTCAGGATTGCATGGCAATTCTGTGAAGGTTGAGTAGTAGGGAAGCAACATTATTTTAGCAGAGTTGGAATCCCTTATAGGAGCCCGTTGAGTCCAAGCAAGCCCTTCGTTCTTACAGAATCGCTTAAGTGGTGCCATTTTTTGAGGATAGTGACTCTGATTTTTAAACGTATGGCGATTGTGAAGGCTGTTCCTAGAAGGCAGTGCAGGCGTATTCTCGCATGACTGCGATTCTGAATGGGAACCGGACGTCGCCGGTTTCCACAAAATTGTACCAACGAAGCCATGCACCTAATAGTATCGAGACCCTTCAAGACAGCCTATGCAGCCTCTTTGCTTTTTTCCGAGTATTTGTTTTTGTGGAAATGAGTGTGGATGGCGACCATTTGTTCAAGCATTAAATTAGAAAAAAAACTCATGCTTACCTGCCGTATCCGCAGTAAAATCCAGTAATCAGTGCCAAATGAAATCAGAAGTATGACAGTAGCATTGAGAAGCAGTACGACCTTGGCCTCCATAGGGCATTTTCTCGATGTCAAATAGCAAATAGCAGATGTTTTGCAGTGAACTTTCGACTACTCGAATCGATCTTCTCGCCTCTCACAAAGAACTTCGGGTAATTGGATTGGGCGTGATGCAGAGACGTTTTGGCCAGCGTATACCAGATATAGAGGCGCGGGATTTGCCGCGGGTATCGCCAGCCTCATCTGTAGACTTGATACCATGGATTCGTGAGAATGAGATCGGGATGGATGCCATTATAGAGACACCGTTCGGTAGAAGGCAAGGTAAGAACACGAAAGGTTTAAATATAAATATTTAGGTACCTGGTTGTAAGATATGACATTTTTTTACTTGTCACTGCTTTGCTTTGCTGTCCCCACTTTAGTTTCAGTGTCACTGTGTGGGTATGATCTTTCCTTTTCTCTCATTGCCCTTTCAGCTCCCCCTGATTCCACTGTCCCTAGCATTGCCCCTTATTCGTTCTTTTTGAATCCTTCGTTAGAGCCCCATTCCTTTCCTGTTTTTTCATCACTGGCAGACCCATAAAGTTGTTAGAGTCGGGGTGAGTTGTATTTCGTCTTGCACGAAGAGACGAGTAGGATGGGGTCGTCATCGTGGCGATATGATTGGAGGGGAATGATGAGTACCACTCTCTGTATTGAATTGAAATTCATTTGATGGGCCCTTTTCTCTCTTTTCCTACAGCATATGGCATCTCAAGTTCCGGTCCTTACTATTAAAAGTAAAAGATAAGAAGGAAAAAAATCGAGGAAATGTGTCCAAATAATGCCTTCATCTGGATCGAAGTGTTCATGGACTTGGATTGGGCAGGAATTATGCGTGAACACCCCGTTTGCTTCAAACGCATTTGAATATTCACTTACAGTTCTCATGTGACTTGGGGCTGACATTCCCTTATTCAACATGATAACTCCCTTTATCATCTATTAAGCGATCTACTGTGACTATACGGCCTCGGCACGTGCGATTCGTCCGTTTGAAAACTACATTTTGGATCATGTCCTGCCGTTATACGGTAACACTCATAGCTCAGTGACAGTCACATCGGAGCAGACGACTTTGTTTGTACATGAAGCCAGGTATCATTGCGCTCAAGGCTACGGTATCTTCGTAGTTGTGATAGCATGCACTTGCAGGCAAGAGATTCGTGCAATGACTGGGGCTGGTGATGGTGACAATGTGCTCTTCGTTGGTTCGGGTAGTACGGCAGCCGTTGAATTGCTAATTCATCTAATGCAACCGGAAAAACTGGTTACAATCTCTTGTTATTATGAAACTTTACAGGATTTACTCGATGTGATCGCATGAGAAACTTAATATTCCATCGAAATCAATGAAAGGACAATATGTATCAGCTTCTACTGGAAAGTCCATTCCCAGAGGTGGAGAATAATCCATATGGGTTGGATAAAGAGCTATACGACCCAAACGGCGCACCCGCCGCATGCGATCGCACGCAGGAGCGCGCTGCGAAGGGAAATATTTCACTTCTTGCCGGAGGATTACGGTAATTGCGGACTACTGTAACAATTGCAGACAGGTGGATATGGGTTAGGAGATGCCATGGCGAGCCAGTTGTTGTGGGGGTCTTATCATACCTAACAATTTAATGACATTTCTCAATCCACTTTCTTCCCAGAGTTCGCCTCAGTTTTCTGCTGTTTTATCTGGTTAATCTTGCTTAGGTTATGTACTTTAGCGGACAAGGGATGCAAATTCATCATATAGCTCTTTACTGAGTTTTATTATAAGTACAGAGTTCAGTACAGCTCATTTGAATGTCCGACTTTCATGTGTGGATATCGAACGCGGGTAGAGAGAGGAGAAGATGAATTATGAAGTGCAAGATTTTTATTGTATCCTTTCTTTCTACAGTACATGGGTAACTCAGAAGCACTTGATCCAACTGCGCGTATCTGTGATACTTTAAGTCAGAGGTATGAAAAAGGTTCAAGGCGAAGCAAGGGGAGAAGTTCAAGGGGAGCGCCAGTCTTCTCTACCAATAAAAACAACCTTTACTACTGAAGCATGCCATCGCAGACATGGTGGGCAATTAAAACGAATGTTCAAGCAGATGACAGTTTAAATATTAATTCTTTTTACCTATAGGTAGTGATTTTGTCGACCCACGAGCACCACTCAAATACACTGCCATGGCGTGCGGTTGCAGAGGCTTGTTACTATGTGCAAGAATCAGCCGACGGTGGCATTGACCATAGTAAGATTGCCAAGTATTTTATTTTTACCCTCTATTGCAATTCACTTTTTATTTGTTTCTTTGTATTCTTCTTTCCTCTTTGAATTTTTTGTTCAATCTGTAAATCTTAGATGAATACACATTAAACAGCGGTGTGATTGTTCGTGAATTAGTCCCCACAGCCCTCAATACTGTGAAAGCGTCGGGAGATGGTTGCGCGTACTTTATCTATCCGCTGGGATACACTGCCATTACACCACATCCATCCCAATTACAACTATGTAATTAAAATTACAGCATGATAAAGTATCCCTGTTTAAAGAGTGATGAAACCCAACACAAAATTCGTCAATAAAGAAGAAGGAAACGAAACCTAAATAAAACTGCTATTTTAGACGATCTTATCCGGGTACTGGAAAAAGTTTCTCAGACACATCCTCAATCTCAACTGTTAGCGGCTTTCACTGCATGCTCGAATATAACAGGCATTTGTATGGATGTGCCCAAAATCAGTGCTACGCTCAAAAAGTAAGTCATTAGACCAATTTTACAAAGTTAGAACAGGATCTTCTCTCACTATTCATATAAACCTTCCTGTTATTTGCAAAATTCTGTTTTCTGCTTATAATGTCCCCCGCCTAATCCCTCTCCCTCCTTACCGTCTATGTGATCGTTGAGTCTAATCCGTCGTGGCTCTCCTATCATTCCTCCCTGCTTCTAGAATTGAAGCTGCAACTTCAGTTGTTTCAACAGTTTGTTTTTTTTTCGCTCCACACATTCAATTTGGAGTTCTTATGAATGCTATAAAGTTTTGTCTTNATTGTGACTGATTTTTTTTATAAATTCTTTTGCCTCCAGGTATAAAGCGCTGAGTGTCTGGGATTACGCGTCATCCGCACCATATGTTGAAATTAATGTCAACGGTACCCATCCTGTTGACGCCGCCTTCTTTTCTGGACATAAGTTCGTAGGCGGAGTTTCCACACCTGGTAAGTTATTTTTCCAAGACTTCTATAAATTTCTAAGGCGCTTTTGAACTTGTCTGATCTGCCGTTTTCTGTAATATTTCGATTCGGAAATGTAATGACAGTCACGTAAAGGGTGATGATTCCAAGTTCTGGACTCTGCACTTGCCCTTAACCCTATTAGAATTCTTTGATTTTCACGCTTCCAATTTTGATCCTGACCTCGCCTCCCTTAAGAAGTGGGTCCATGTCAAAAATATTCTCCCCTAATTGTGGACTCGTTTGCTCATTTCTGTAGCAGTCGGTTTTCTTGGGTATTTTTTATACTCTTTGACTTTTCGTTGTAGTTTTTATGAGGGCTGTCTATNGCAGTCGGTTTTCTTGGGTATTTTTTATACTCTTTGACTTTTCGTTGTAGTTTTTATGAGGGCTGTCTATAGGAGAAGTTTCACTTTTTGCGAAGATGTCTCTTGCTCTTCATTTGCCGACATGCCGCTCATCGACAGATTTTCTAGCTTTTTCCAAGAAGTGTTGATTAGTGCCCTTTCACCCCAGAGCGAGACCAGCATAGTTCATGTGGCCCCATACGTACGGGACTACTACGTGCCTAACCTCAATTTGAGCATATTTTTAAGGCCAACCACAAATTTGTGGTCATTTCGAAAAACAAACAAATAGGCTTATAAATAGAGAGGACATCAAGCTTCTGGCTTTTGTCTGACTGTTTTCTTTGTCGCGTTTTTTCTATTTTCGGTGATTTCCTATAATCCTTTCCGTTCAGGTGTACTTATTGTGAAAAAGGCGCTGATAAAAGCAACGGTACCCAAGCGAGTTGGTGGAGGGACAGTCTTTTTTGTACGTATTCATTACTGTAATCGGAAAAAGATTATTCGGAAATAGGAACGGATTCCGTTTACAGGTATCGCCATCAGGTGAATGGTATCTGAAGGACGCGGAGTATCGAGAGGAAGGCGGCACACCGGACAGTGTCGGGATCATTCGTTTAGCTTTGGCAGTGAAATTGAAGAGAGCTGTAGGAGAAGGTACCATAGAGGCTTTGGAGAGACAAAAATCCGAGTGAGTTCGTTTCACTGAATCAAACGAATTTGCATAAACCGCCGCTTCTAAATTTTGCTAGTTCCTAAGAACTAAACTTGAAAATCAGCCGTAGCTCTTCAGTCAATTATGACAAGCTGCTATTTGTTGGGTCATATTGCTCTGAGCTCTTTATTTCTGATCCGGCTATGTTCAGAAATAAAGAGCTAGTTGATTCGATTCTGAGCCGATCTTACGGTAAGATATGTTACCTTACAAGTTAGGTTTTTGTCGAAGCATTAGTTGAATTCAGGTAGATCAAGTTTCAGACGATTTCTGATGGGCTTAAGGAGCTGTCACAATGTGGTGCTACTTGGAGCACCACGTGTGGATCATAGATTAGCTGTGTTTTCATTTTTAGTGAAGGTATGAACGTCAATGTATATTCAGTGGGATTCTATTGAACGTAAAGAGCCAGTTATTGCCCATACTTTCAGGATCAACATTCTGGATTGTTTTTTCATCATAACTACATATCTGCCTTATTGAACGACCTCTTTGGAATTCAAAGTCGTGCTGGATGTATGTGTGCTGGACCATATGCGCAATATTTAATGGCTATTGATGAGGAGGTAGGTGTAGACTTGGTTCCACCTTTGCATTGTCTGCTGGCATGTGGTAACATTCATGCAAACGTTCCGTTTACAGTTGGCGCTACAGTATCTGGCTGCGTTACGGGAAGCCGATGGACTGGATCGAACTCATCTACGCCGAGTCGGCGAATATTCGTCGAATGAAATGCTTCGTCCAGGGTTCACAAGGGTTTCGATACCGTACTTTTGGACAGACGACCAGGTTATTAGCTTACTGAAACGTGATAAACTTTCTTGACACAATCGCTATTTAGGGGTGGGTGGTTTAAAACATCTTGATTTCTCTTTTCCTTACCTGCCAGAGAGGTTGGCAACAAGGCATTCTCTATTCTGTGTGAAGATTCGAGGAATTATGTCATTTGTTTTCGCTCCCTTTATCTTTACCATTACCGTGGTTCTTGCCCCTCTGATAGAAATGAAGTTGGGGGAGGGACACACGCCTCTCTCGACGGATGATATCCTACCAGTGAATTACTCTTCCATTCTCAGTTCCTAATCGAGATCAACATCTCACCCACCTCGACACTCCTTCCCATACTTAAGCTCAGGCAGAAAATTCATCATTTTGGTGCATAACCGTTTCTGTGCCCACGATGCCCGCTTTACCCGAATGAGCTTCTTAAAATAAGTAGGTTTCGCTAAATGATCGAACCGCCTCGGGTCCGACGGGTGAGCGGCTGCAACCAGACTTCGTTATGACCGGTGGCCGTCGTGCGTTAGGAGCCAGATCCCAAACGTCGGAAATAGGGGACGTCAAGCGATGGGAAGAGCGAAGCGACGTGGGAGCTACGTGGACTAGCTAATCGGTAATCCAAAGTTGATTGTCTTATGCTAGCTTTAATGTACTCAGTGAACGTCCCAAATATGAGAACCAAGGAGAGCAAGAAAGCATTTTCCGGAAAGACAATTCGATCCAAGCTACGCTAATTGATTTAAAATTTTTATTTTCTTGTTGACAAGCCCTTTAAAGGCATTTATTCTTCGTGGTAGATAACGAGCTTTGGGATGTCGATCGACCACGTCCAGCGCGATGCACGACGCTGATTGGCCAAAGCGAAGCTTGATTGGGAGTAGCCGCATGATAGGTAATCAATACGGCGTCGGTTGCCTCACCCCCAGATCAAGGATGGTGCCTGGGGCAGTTTTGTTCGTTTATACGACTTCACTCTTAGGTTTATCAAAAGTCCATAGTGTGGTCCTCAAGGTGATCGATGATAGACCCCATTGATGGCTTAAAATCGGATCAGTCATTGATCTTCATGGTGGGCAGGCCGGATGCCTCCTGACTCACAATGGGAGCGGGTGCACGGAACTGTCGTTCTTGTTTCTCAGCTTTGCTTCAAGACGGTGTCGTATTAGATATACGCCACCTAGGTGGGAAAGCGCAGACGAAGAAGACCATGAACTCTGCCTATAGGATATGGGAAAAATGGGAAAGACCCCGGTTGAGCAGTCTCACCTATGGGTAGGCGAAGATACACAATCGGTCCGCAGTTGATTGTTTTCACCATTCTCGGACTCTGATATTGCAGACTATACTGATTCATGGATCTGTACCGAGTTATCGTCATCGTTATCCTTTTTCGTCGTTCTGAATGGTGGTCGTTATCACTGACATTGATTTCAGGTGGACTACCTCGTCGAATGTATTCGATTTGTGTCTGAACGAGCTGCTGATTTCATCCATTTGGTTGGTAGATTTGATTATTAATCTGATGCAATTGCTTATCGTGTTTACTTGCTTCCATCTCATTAAATTACCGTGCAAATTTGCTATGTTAAACAGCTTTCAAAGATTTTAAAGATCAGTTATTAACCGCAGTTTTAAAGATTCATCAATTTTTTCGCTTCAACACAAAATACATGCAATTAAATTTTCTCAGAGTTTCGCAGAAATTGAAGGCGAGAGGAAAACTCCTCTCAGGATGTTACTCGTTTCTCGCATTTCAGTACCAGTTAAACTGCGAAAGTGCTGAATGGCATCATTACAAGCAAAGAACATTTCATGCTCGTAAATGGCTCGGATATATTTCGTTCAATAGTAATGGTATGGTGGTGGAAGAGAAAAAGGTTAGCTTGATGTACTTGATTTAGTCATTAGCTGCTTTCAGACTTTATCGTCCGTCCGTACGTTCAGCACGGGCTGCAGCGACGGTCGCGTGCGTGCCGCGACCGCGGTTCCGGAAAGGTGTTGACGGCGCTAGCACGTGATCTTGTGTTGTCAACACCTTTCTAGAACCGCCGTCGCGACATGCGCGCGACCGCCGTTGCAGCAACGGACGGACGAACGGGCGGACGTTGAAGTCTAAAAGCAGCCATTGTCTAAGTCTAAAAGCAGCCATTGTGACATTCAAGATTCTGCTGGTTTTTCAGAGGGACATGTCGGCTCCACTATCAATTAGTGCTTCATTAACAGAAGCGCATCGGCTGGCTAATGAAAGTCTGGCAGCCATGGAGAGGGTATGTACTGCAATTTTGACTTCTCTGCCGTAATAATATCCCCAAATGATTCGCAATGGTAACATTCTTGCGCCTGCGGGATAGTTAGGTGGAATTTTCCATTCATTTTAGTGGCTTGACATCTGGACTTTGTCATTCCTTCTACAAACCGCGGTTGTAGGCGAAATTCGAGGTGAATAGTAGCGATTGCTAATTGGTTGGCTGAGAGGATGTTATTGTGAATATAATAGTCAAATGCTGTGAATAGTTCCACCTAGAATACCTATTACCGTGTTCAAGCATGATTAAAGTTCACTTAATTTTGTTATATTCTTGCAGGTGTTGAAAATTCACTTAATTTTGTTATGGTCTGGCAGGTATTGCTATCGAATGAGCTGTGATTTTCAGGTGCCAGTACCAGATGGTCGATCGGCTGTCGACGATCGATATGCCTACCTCCGATGGTTTGTACTGCCAGTCGAGGTAAAATGTTAACTATTTAATGGGCTTTTTCTTGCTGAACCAACAAACATGTTTGTGTTTCAGGTAGTCGAGAGAACCCGAGGTGTGTCAGTGAGCTACCCATCACTACCGTATCACCCGCGGCAGTATGCAGAATTAGAAAAACAACATGAACCACCTTTGCGGAGTTTTGAAGAGGTGACAAAGTTGTTTACTTCTCAATTGCTACAGCGATATAGTGGTTGAGTCGTACCAGTAAGGTGCAAGTCAGTTCCAATGAAGTATATGAAACACAAAATGGGACCTGAGACGAACCTGCACCCGCGCTGCATGAGAAGTGTATAAAAATTCAGGTAGTGCCTTTTCTGAATATGTTCGCACTTCATTAGAGCTGCAGATATGAAACACTCTTGAATGTGTAGACGATGCGCCCATTGCTGTCCATTGGACGGACCTCTTTTGAACAGAGCACATACTTACGATAAGGCAGTCTTGTGTATTGTTATGGCTAGATACTTCAGTTGTTTTGTGTTGTCGATCAGAATAATAACGCTATTCCTAAGCAAATCAACCGGTGGCGATAGTGGGTTTGGTGTATTCACCTCTTATGGGCCATCGGTTTACTGGAGAGTAGGCTGCTGTTGAGGCCGCTCCATCTATGGGCGCCAAACTGAAACTCTTACATGTCCTGTTGTTCCAACATCCGTTCTCAACCGTTGAAACGACAGATATACTCGTAGCCGAATCGTGAATTGCAAGGATCCTAGAAAAATGTAAAAAAGTCATAGCGTTGTAGACAGGTTGCCGTAAACATTTTCGACAAGAGCGGTGGAAAAATTCGGAAGTAGATTATGGACGTGCAATTACCAATGTGCAACTACTAAGGTGAAACTACCGAAAACCTAAAACTACCTAAACTAGTCTGTTGTTTGACATTGATGCCTTTTTGTTCAACTGGGAATATTATCCACAATTTTTAAGGCGGTCCAAATTGTGCCAGATGGTGACAGTCAATCGGAGCACGAAGTCTTTCCGAAGGAATCGGAATCAGAAAACCAGTGTCAATCCTGTGATTTCGCAAGTATGTGATTGGTTTATTTCTTTAGCTTCTCCTTTGTTCTAATTATTAGCCTATCAAAGGGATGTGTTTGATAGGAGTAACACGATACTCTAACGACTGCTCCTATGAGTATTTCATTTTGGGCAAGACACTGTATCGAGTTTGCATCCCAACACATACCACTTAATATGTATGTAATAATGGGATCAATGCAACCATACCAACGGGTACGGCGAAAGCGCATTCATCTGTTGTAGCGAGATTCTTTTCTGAATGACTGGCTTACGAAGTTTCAATGTGAAGTCGACCCCGAAGATAGCAAATGATGGGCATTCGGCCCGCGTTTCAAATGAATCGTTGTAGTCAAGGAGCTGAAAGTAGTTCGAAACTTCTGATACTTGGCTTACCCGTCAAGCGCCGGGAGGCATTTGGGAAGTTGCAAGTCTTTCCGAAACTCGAATACAGCTCCCAATGAATGGTCAACTTATTGCGGCTCCGCCAGCGTTGACGTCTCAATTGGGAATGTCTAGAAAGAGAAACCCTGGCGTTCATTCCTTTTTGTGGGCTTTGACATCACCGCGTACTCTGTATCTTATGACTATCCGTAGAGTCTAATTTAAATTTTGTAGTCACTTATTTGAGTGAAACGTCAACACTGGTAGAGCTTCAAATTCGGTCGCTTCGGCGAAACCTTAAATGTTTGAGTGGGAGGTGCAAGGTGTGACAGCTGGTCTAGTTCCCGCGTTTTTAATTTAATGAAATGTGCCGGCATGTATAAGTGTTTTGAAATGAAAATTTACGTTATCGTAGCTTTTGTTCATTGCTTTGTAGAAGACGTCGTTGCTGAATGCCCCTTGAATCCAGCAGATAGTAACAAAGGATTGTTAGAAGAGTTTGGTACGGACGAAGAACCTGAAGATGCGAAGGTATAACTGACTATCTGCATTCACAACTCCCAATATTAATTACCATTTGAGAGGTAACGATTGCCTACTGACATAGCTTAACACTGCAATTGTTTCAGGTACTGGATGATTGGGATAAGCGCGTAGTTGTTAGGCATAGGCAACTGACTGCCGCCGAAGAAGTTCGAATACCATGGCATCAGCCGCCTCTTGAAATGTACAGGCGTGTTAGTGAGGCAATTCATGGGCTGGATATGATCAAGGTATTACCATGTTCCATTGGCTACCTACTGTTGACTTATTGGAAAAATTTGCTCTGAAAGAACGATGAAAAACTGATGATTAACGAAATGATTTGTAAAGGTGCTTATTATTGGCGAGGTTTTTGTTTTCTTGGGTCAACATTGTATAATTAGTGTGTAGAGCATCTAGTCTGGAAACTTTTTTTCATGAAATTCAGATTCATTTTTAAATGTGCGAGCTGAGACCAGAAAGAAAAACTGAATTTAGGAAGGCGACAAAATCCTGGTCTGCCTGTCAGGTGGCAAGGATTCGCTTTCGTTGCTTCATATCCTGCATTTTTACCAAATGCGTTGTCGAAAGAACAAAAGGTAATGTTCGTACTGCAGAGTTCATTCTGGTCCGTTGATCATATTCGTTAATGATTCATCTAGGCAACACTTCTCTCTGATCATAATTTACTTACTGAGACTGCATTCTGAATCCATTTTCGAGTAGTTCTGAGGAGTCAAGTTAGGCAGATATCAGCTCCTTTTATGAAATCTTTTCAAGCACAAACTTTGAACTGGGCGCGATCACTGTTGATCCTGGCTCGACAGCGTACAACCCACGACCACTGATCGACTACTGTAGATCTCTGAACATCGACTATTTTTACGAGGAGCAAGGTAAACCGTTGAAGCTCCTCTGTAGAACGCTAGAAAACTGATTTTGTTGTTTCCGATCTTTTCTCTTTATCAGGGCTGCTTTAGATATTATCGGAGCTGCTAAGAAGCTCAATAATGTTCGTTCGATTTGTGCATTCTGCAGTCGTATGAAACGAGGTCGACTGGCGGCAGCGGCTCAACTTCACGGATGGAATGTACTGGCAATGGGCCAACATTTGGATGACGTTGCTGAAAGGTGTCTAGTATAATAATTAAAAGCGCGTCTAATAAATGGGGTACCTTGAAAGCGGATTCCACAGCCACCCGAACTAAATCAGCAGTTAGGGGTTTAGTAACTGATTACATGCGCTAGGGAAGAAGACCCATTGCAATTTTTCAATTTTTGGTGGGGTCATGTTGGCTTTTTATCCAAGTGACTATTCCTTTCGCTATAGTTCTGAATAGCAAAGAAAATTTATTCTGAGCACATTTCTCATTGTGGTTATACCTTCTCAAAAGTCAATGTTGAACAATATGGCCACTTTTCTGGCTTCATGAAATTCACCTTTCGTTGAGGAGAGCCGATTCAGATTTATTTTATGGGTGTGGCGGTAAGGAATTTCTTGCTGGGAATGATTTCTCTTTTTCTCACTTTTCTGTGAATCTTTGAATGACTATCGATCTTCGATTTGTCGACTCAAAATGATTCCTTGTGAGGATATTTTATCTCTCCTTGATTCTTACTATAAATTCCTTTCAACGTTGAGAATTTGCAAGCCTGTTCCAGTGGAGATTATTTTTATGGCTTGTTTCTGTCCAGTATGAACCGAGGCTTAGGCAAGGCTATCACACTTGCTTGGAAAATCGCTTAGATGAGAAGGGAAGCAATTTTCTCAATAAAAAAAGCTCACTCGTCTACTATCCTCTAATGAAGCATATGGAGGAGTTTTGAATGGGTTACATTTCCGAAGGCGGTAAAGTCACCTAACGACGTCTTGTGAGGCGTGAGTTAAGGTTCTCTCGGGAACAGGTTCAGCCCAAAACTGGATGGAATCTGGATGAGTGGTAATAGTTATCTGTTAACAGCCAAGAGCGGAATGGCGAGGTTTTTCTAAATGGCCACAGCCGCGTTACAAACTCATTGTTGCATAATTTTGCTGACACTACGTTTACTAGCTGAAAGAGGTTTTTGAGGCAATGTACATCTAATTCGGTTTCTGCAGCAATCCCTCAAAATTGAGCCCAAATAAGAGAGTTTTGTCTTTGGTCGGATGATCCTTCCACGTCCCAGTAAAGGCTCTGAGCTGCACTGTACCAAAAGAAGAGGTGGAAAGAGAATTTGGTCTTATTCTAGGCTGAAGTCGGTCAGTGAACAGAGTATGCTAAATGAACGTGGCGTATTTTTAAGCAGCAGATCATTGCTTAACTCTCTCTCCTTCAGTTTTGGGGTCCAGATTCTGTTGTTCTTAATTTTTTATTGTTATTAATACATGCAGAGGAGACGAGGAAGTTTCAATCAGAAGTTTATTTATGCAGAAATCATAAATAAATTATGTGCACCGCATAAAAATTACCCTTAACCCTTGAAGTATTTGTGCTTTGAAGACTTGCGACGCTCTGATTGGGACTAAAAGTTGAATCCCAGTCCGAAGGGTCCACGGTTCATGCTACCACTCTGTTCTCTGTATCCTCTCTCAATATTTTCAGTCTTCACTTTTGGCGCTTTCGGTGGATAAGCTGCGTCAGCGCTGAGCTGAAAAGCATTGGATTAAAAGTTGTATTATGTGTCCTTTGAAGGAATTTTATGATATTTGCGTTAAGAATCGGTAGGGCACTAACAAGAAGTTGCTGATCTTTGTATCCTCTCTCAATATTTTGTGGATGAGACGAGTTGAGGACTTACGATATGAATGTCCATTGATAGGCCACCATCGGCGAATTTCCGTGCAGCACGGGCGAAGTTTCTAGCGAAATCACCTAAGATAGCAAAACGAATCACCCTTCGCAGCTGATCAAACTTTTCGATCGAAAGAAATCTACTTACTTTCAAGGAGATTGTAAGCCTCGGGCCAGATGCTACGCACTTCGTTCTTTATCGTCTGATCACATCTGGAGTAGGACTCGTAAAAGTCAGCCATGAGATCGGCAAGACGGTTGGCGATCATGTTTGGTGGAGCAGAGACGGCTTCGAAGACACGGCCCCACCACTGGGTAAGGAACAAAAGTTGATCAGAAGAAAATGCAACAAAGTTGTAAGAGTGGATCAACAGTCAGGCCCTTTAAGACGGTAGCCTGAATTTATTGTGAAGCGTATTCGGTCAGCTGCGCTCATACCTGCGGCATTGTTCCAGTTACCATGAAAAGCGCGGAATTTGATTGGTTGGTCCTTATTGGTCAATATGAACGGAATTTCATAGAGTTAGGATCCAGTTTCCGTAGCAAGGCGTCTTGTGGAATTGTATTAGGTTCCACAGGGAATGTGGCATTGACATACGGTTGGTTTTTATAGCTTACCATATTGAATCCTTTTTTGGCGGTAGGTGACAGTTTGTTCAAATTTCTCATAAGCATGTCCATGGCCTCGTCGATGTTTTCTCCAAGTTCCGGTGTTCTACAAGTGAAATCTTCTGCAGATCCCAATGTTCTCTTTATGAAACAAATCGAAAAGTTTTTAGCCAAACATTTCTTGGTCCAAATGCATCCAATAATGGGAAAAGGTAGCGTAAATGTGTTTCACTGGAAAAAGCCAAATTATTGATTACTCACCGTTTCGAGACGTAAGCAACGATTTGTGGAACGTTGTTTGGTATCTTAAGTCTGCCGTCTTCGATTTCGTTTACAGCTGCCACCATTTCGTTCTTTGTTCTCTCCGAGAGCTAAAATTGGGCCAATTTGGGCGTTAATGAAAATATCCTTCCAGCCTAATTGCTCATATCATACTGAATCGCGACTTGATCTATTGCGCACAACAGGATTAGTCGTATCTGCGACGAATTCATACTCTGCACAGTAGACCGCGCTGCGTTCCGATGTTATAAGAGTCTAAAAATGTCAGTTCCTCGTGTGTAAGAACCTACTCCTGCGAAGATCGTTTGTATCTCCTTCGGAACGTAATCTGAAATAAGAAGCATATCAAACATTGATAATGTTAGCATTGATAAAGTATATCTGGCTTTCAAATTAAGCACCTGATCGCTGCATGCCGGCAATGAAGAAGTCCCACTCTGTCACATATCTATTACAGAGACCTTAGGTATGAGTCCCGTCTCGCTAATGACGTATCTTTTTCTCTATTCGCTTTTTAATAACTATGTGGAAAGCTAAAATCATCGTGGGATGCACTACGCTATTTGTGAGAGCTGTTAGTCAGTGAAGCTTATCATACAGCCTCCAGAATTTTGCCGAAGTGGGTTGTAGTTTCCTAGGGATTACGCAATCCATGAAAGGATTTGACTTTGGAAGGCAAATATGTTAAAAGTACGGAAATCGAACGAAAATTGTAAGAAGTGTGAATGGCTTTCCCCCACGCGAACCTTTGTAGTCGTTGAGAATGTCGAGGTAGTAATCAAGACTAGCTCTACTGAACGAGGTCTTCTCGTCGAGTAGTTTCGCCAAAGAGATTTCACGATCAAGCGGTTCCTGCATACGATTTCGCTCCATCAAGAAGTTGTCACGTTCGAGTGGTTCGGTGTCACGATGGGGTGCAGCGTTGACAAGAGCCGAAATGAGGAGCAGGCAGGGCACGGTAAACGTCATAGTGGAAGTGCTCTGTAACTATAAGTTAAATAGATGACTACATTCTCTTGTCATATAATCGAGGGGGCTACTATAGCGAAGTTAGAGTTGTTCGTCATTGACTCAATCACAATCTGCAACACAGTAGTAGCAAGGTGGTCATGAGAAACTGAAAGAAAAGGGGTGGCGTACTAGGACAGGGGAGAAATTGTGGAATAAGTTATATGGTGGTCATCTACTGGACGATTATTTATACTGAATTTTGGTTGTTTTGGAGGCTGTTAGCATCGCATTAGTGTCAAGTATTATGATCGCCGTGACGAATTCGATAACAGCACTGACCGCTCATAGAGATTAGTCAAATTTGGTATTTACGAGAACATCAATTCATTGTAATCCACTTGTTCTTGTCAGCTGATCAACCCTTCAGTGTAAATCATGTATTGAGCTTCATTACAGAATTCTGTCGCAACCAAAAATGGTATTTGGCAGTAACATTACTTTTTGGAGCTGGTTCTGAATGTATACCCGTACTTGTTTTCTAAGTCTGGTAACAGTCCCTGTCAGGTATGAATGAAGGGAATGGTCCACTTGGGTGTTCCCCTTGGCGTTTCTGGAGCGGAAAGCGCCCAAGAGATGACATAATCACTAGCTAGCGAAAACAAATACGTTCGTCCAAATACCTTTTGGTTTTTGAATATCGCTCTTTTTCTGTATGTGCTACCTACATCGATTTCAAGTTCGAAGTGTTTCTCGCCAAGATGGTCACATCGATTTCTGAATTGTGTTTTCATTCCAGTTTCTTCATTGCTGCGTTCCAGAACGGGAATTTAAGCACCATGAAGGCACAGTATTTGTCACGGTAATTCTCTTCCTCACTCTTTGATTTATCGAACTTCGAGGCTATAAGTTTGCTACCCAAAAATTTTTTATGGGTGACTGCTGATTTTCAGTGATGGCACTCTACGAGTTATTCGACCGTTGATATTCGTCCGTGAAAGAGCTTTGCGCGAATTCGCAGAATCGAAAGGGCTTCCTGTAGTGGCCGAAAACTGTCCGGCATGTTTCAATCAGGCGACTGAGCGACATAGAATCAAACAGGTATACGGTCCTTGTGTTGTCATAATTAATGAACATTTACGACCCACTTAAAAGGGGGAGTGAAGCCAGGTTAATCGGATTATCCTCTGTTTCGAAAGAGGAAATGGGTGGTAACGTTTTCTAATTTTCACCGGCGCTGCTTGCTGGGTGAATATATAATTAAGCACAAAAACCACCTCTCAGTTATAACTCAATCAATTTGTTTTTAGGAGGTAAGTGATGCCCTAAGAAAACCTTGTTTTCTTTAGATAGGATAAAGTCCTGGTCTTCTTGCGAACATCTTGCTATAGCATTCGCGCTGACTCGGTCGTCAAGATGGGTAACGTCATCTTACGGCCTCACGAGCATGATGAAATCAAGTCTCATGCGTAGATCTCCGATCATGTTGGTAAAGTTCTAGGCCGGTAGGGGCTGTAATTCGTCCGATTCCCTCCTTATTCGATCACTGCTTAACTTCTGAGCAGGAGTGTTTCCCCTGACGTATGACCGTCGGAAACTATCAGGCACGAATGATGTGCGACAGGAAACTGAGGAAAATTTGCTGTCACAGAAGCACCGGAAAAGTGTAGTTGCCGATGGAGCTTATTTTGAGTATTGCTTTTGGGCATTGTTTCTACTTCTCTTATATCAACTTGATTATATTTCTTAATGACAAAACTNTACAGTCTAATAATTCTCTTTGCATTGATCCTATCATTCTCATTATTGTTTCAGCTTCTCGCTCAGCAGGAACTCATTTTTCCTGATCTCTTCAACTCGCTTAGATCAGCCCTCCGGCCACTTCTTTTGGTGAGTAGAAATGTTGAAAGTTAGCCGAACTTCAAATGGGTTGCCTGGAATGAAAGACTGATTATATTTATTTCGTCGATTTCTATTGCAGGTCGACTCAGCAAGAACAGACGAGATGAGGGCGTTGGCAATCGAGAATATAGTGAAATTCAATAAAGGGAAAGCTAAATAAGTATTGCGAGCAGGGTTTTCACTGCTGTATTGTCGTCATTGAAATTATATATTGTTGTTGTTATGTAAGTTGGTTTAAGTTATTTGTTCTAGACAATTCCGTAAGTGGAAGTCATTCAAGGAACTATATAAGAAATTATTGTTATTTTGAAACAGAGAATGTATTGCACTTGCTTTCTGATTGCAAAACCCATGATCTGGTGGTCCAACGCCAGCTCTTTATATTGGGTTGTAACATAAGTTCGTAGGGTTTTGCGTTAGAGTTATTTTACAACGATTATTTTGTTTTTTAGCAAAGTGTATACATTCATTTGAAAGAGCTCTTTCTCCTCTACAAAACTGTTTTACTCGTTTCTAGGATAATTAAATTGTTCGTCTTTTTCCGGGCTCAGAAATGGAATATCCAGGAAGAAAAAATTAGCATTTCCGACATCTGCTTTCCTTTGCTTCTCGCCGAGGTCAAAAAAGCAGCCGAAACCGCTCGGGACATATGCAGTGTGTACGGGAAGGTGTCTTAGGTGTGTTTACTGAAAGGTGTGGGTGGCCCCAGGGAAGGCGCCAAAGCCGAGAGTCAAGCAAGATCTACACCCAAAAAATGCTCATGATCTGCGTTTGGGTGGGACTCGGTAGGCATGGTGCATTGGGAAACTGCTCGAACGAAACGCGACTGTCAACAAGGAGGTCTACATTACCCAGCTGAACAGTGTAAGTGAGGCTGTTCGGCTGAAAAGACCCGATAGACAAAGTCAAGTCATCTTGCTCCACGACAACACCAGGCCCCATATTGCTCAAGTCGTCAAAACAGCACTCCAAGAGCTTGAATGGGAGGTTCTTCAGCATCACCTGCCGACTATCACCTTTTCCGCTCTATGTTAAACCCAGTGGGGGGTGTTACCTTCGATGGCGAAGGGGACCTTAAAAACTGGCTCAACAAATTCTTCGACACCACAACGGCCGATTTTCGGCGAATCACCATCAACAAATTGGTCGAGAGATGGGAGGAGGTCGTGAACAGTAACGGAGGATACATCATTGGTTAATTATTATTATAATTATTATTCTTTGGTTCAAATAAATCTTTGTGAAAAAACTCTACGAACTTATGTTACAACCCAATAATTGTTGTGTTGAACGTTAAATATTTTTGAAAACTCTCACAAAACTAAAGGTCCATCGGTTGTCATCTTCCATCTTCATACAACATGCAGGATAAAGGCTTTTAGTAGTTCACAAGTAGATATGTTTTCTATTCGTTTAGTCGAAAGCTACCTTGACTTTGTTTATTAATGTTTTGCTTTTTGACACTCCATCAGGTTTAGAAGTACTGCGTCAACAAAAAGTAACAATCAAAATGCTACTTACAAAGCCTGCAGTTGGAACTAGATTTTCTTAGCTAATTTGAAGTTGTGCAGCGTACAACCCACGACCACTGATCGACTACTGTAGATCCCTGAACATCGACTATTTCTGCGAGGAGTAAGGTAAACCTTTGAAGCTCCTTTGGAGAGAGCTAGGGCACTGGTTTTGTTGTTTCCGATTTTTTCTTTTTATCAGGGTTGCTTTAGATATTATCGGAGCCGCTAAGAAACTCAATAATGTCCGTTCGATTTGTACGTTCTGCAGTCGTACGAAAGGAGGTCGACTGGCAGCAGCGCCTCAACTTCACGGATGGAATGTGCTGGCAATCGGCCAACATTTGGACGAAGTCGCTGAAAGGTATTTACTTTAATTATTAAAGGTGCGAATAACAAGTGGGCTACCTTCAATGCGGATTTTAGCTAATTGAATCTGTTCTCAAAATCAGCAGTTGGGGGGTTTAGTTACAGTTACAGTTACTGGGTACATTCGCTAAGGAAGGAAAACTATTGCGTTTCTCGCTGGCTTTTAGTGGTGGTCTTGTTGGTTTCTTTATTCAAGTGACCATGATTTCTGCCACAGTTTTGCTTTTGATGAAGGTAGTTAGGAGTGCTATTTGGCATGTGTCCCATCACCAAAGGAATTTTATTCTGAACACATGTCCCACTCTTGAGCTTTAGTTATACGTTCTCAAAAGTCAATAATGAACGAACTGAGCACCCCTGAAATTCACATTTTTTTGAGAAGAGCTTACTCAAACTTATTTTGAGAGGTGGCGGTGAGAAATCCTCGTTGTGCGGGTGGTTCAGTGGTTATTATGAGGGCTTCGGTGATAACGGAGTTAATATAACACAATAATATTGTAAGTGCGGTCGTTCCCGCTATAACAGTACACAATAATGGTAGACAATACTTTATAAGGCAGGCAACTTACGTCTTGCTTCGACGACTAAAGGAAGAGGAGTGCGGGCTCACTTATTTCGGGTCTGCTTGACCCCGCACCATTTAGAGGCGTGGGTTCAGCTAGGGATTCGTCTCAGACAGTGAGACGACGTTATACATAGTTATGGGGATCGTCGCCATAGACGACGATACTCGTATTGGAAATAATTTTTCTTCTTCTTACTATTCTGAGGAGCGCTGAGCGACCACCCATCTTCGATTTGCCGAATTAAAAAGATTCCTTGCGCGGATAGTTGGTCGCACATTCGTCGTCGTAATTTCCTTTTGAGCTTGAAAATTTACAAACCTGCTCCATAGGGGACTACCTTTGTGGCTTATTCCAGTCGAAATCCTTACTATATATAAAGCGCTCTGTCTGTCTGTCTGTCTGTCTGTCTGTCTGTCTGTCTGTCTGTCTGTCTGTCTGTCTGTTTGTTT